TATATATATGAATGAATGATTGGGTATGTAGCTTAGTGTGAAGGCCCAGGGTTCAATCCCTGGTATTAGAAAAGAAGATCACTTAGTTGGGTCTGTTTTTCCCCTGAACAGATGACAGCAATGAGCTGCAAAGTGACATTGTTCGAGAAGAAGATCTGCCAGTGTGAAGAAGAGGATTGCCCATGATCATCTTGTCTTGAAAGCTTGGAAAGCTCCACCGAAGACAAGCTCTTTATCAGCTTTGCCTTGATTCACACCCCTGCCCAGGAGCTTGCATTACCAATAGCTGGGGTCCCTCAGCAAACAAGAAAAACAAACACACATCTTTCCTTCCATTTTAAAAAAAACAAACTGGTTTAATTTGCTGTAAGTTTTCTCAACAATGTTCAAAAGCTTCAGGAAGGAGTGGCGTGTGTGGGAAAGCTGCAGCTGGCATGTGAGGTGCCATTTTGCCGTGGCTGCTGGCGCTCCACAGGTTGACTTAGCATAACAGGCACTGATGTGGAAAGAGCACTGTTCAGGGAAGCACTTGGTCTCCATGCCTGTTGCCACTCTTTAAAGGTTCATAACCAGCTTGTCCCAGCACAAAAGGAAATACTGTGTCGGAAGACGGGAACTTCCTTAATCTCTGCCCAGGTGCGCTTGCAACCGAGGAAGCAGGCAGACGGCAGCTCCCTGGGAAAGGTGAGGTGGCAGCTACCAGTGGGAGCCAGAGGAAGGCGTCTGGGTCAGGCTTTGGAGTCAGAAACACTGGGCTCCAACTCTTCCTCATCCCATGGGGTTGGGCATGTTGCTTGCTGAGCTGTTTCCTCACGTGTGAAACAGGCAACATCAGTCCTCCTGCTGCCAGGCTTGTGGTAAAGATGAAAGGAGGTCATTTCGGATATAAAAGTGCCTCAGAGGTGCTCAATAGAGGTTAGTTACCTCCTTTGCCTTCCCTAGTGGAAGAAAAAAAAATGTAAGTTAGGAGTGGCCGTCTTCCCTTTCATTCTTTACAGAATGGTTTCCGAGAGGGCATTGTTAGCTGCTCCTGACCATTCTTCCCCTGGAGATGTAATTCTTTTCAAAAGAGGTAGAGGCTGATAAAAGGAGATATCTTTCATTATAACCTCACATTCTGCAGAGCTTCATATTTATATAAGCCTCCTAGGTGGTGTACCTAGGATTCACTTTCAGCTTTTAATATTCATTTCTTTGGCTGCTTTGCAAAAAAGGCAAGAGAAGCATTTCCTAACAGTATATCTGGTGATAAGAACCACTTGGACAGACTAGTCTGTGTGACCTCAGTTTTTCTATCATAGAAATAGGAATGGGAAAACTTCTTTCCCACCTCTTAAAGGTATTGTAAGTATACACTGATTGAGAACACTAAGGTTCAAATGTAACGTGCTGAGTTTCAGTTGCTGAGCTAATGCTTCTAGTAGATCCTGGAGTTTTGAAAAAAATGTTCTTAATTTCATCCATATCTCTTAAGGTTAGGGACCTTATGAGTGTGCGATAGATGTGTTTTAAGCATAAACATTTGACTTGAATTTGCACTCTTTAATATTGTAGATCATGCTCCAATGGGCAAGACCTAGGGCTTAGTGGAGAGCTCCCCTTCTCCAGTGGTAGAGACTGGGACTCCTAAGAGGAGGAGCTGGTTATCTGAGGTAACTGCTGCAGTGGTAGTGAAAGTCTGTTTTCCTGGATGCAGGGACTGAGCTGAGAAAATCACATTTGTGCCCTCTCCCCAGCTCAAGACACTGGGGAGTCTGGAGCTGCTGTAATTTCTACCCTCAGGAATAGCTGTGAATTACAGTGCTCCTACTTGGCAAGGTCTTTTTGCTGCAACAGAACCTTATATACTGCGTTATTCTAAACTGTCTCTTAGTGTCATTTCAGAATGAGACACTCAGGTTGCTTCTAACGTCCCCAGAGACTGAGCTTGTCTCTTTTAGTCTTCCATGACTAAATTTCTGAATTTAAGAGTCCACTCTTCAGAAGCAACTAGATTTTAAAGAAAAGAAGAAAGGGAAGAAACTAGAGGGGAAACCACTAGCTGGAAATGCAGAGAATATTTTGCAAGATCACTGGGATACTTTCCACAACCTCCTTTTCTCTTGCACACACACGTAGTGACAGGAGATATCTGAGGGTTTTTCCACTAGCAAATGGGAGCTTCAAGGGCTTCATGCCAAATGCTGTGGAGCCCCAACCAAGCGATCTGTGCTGGCTGTTGCATCACCCCAGTGTGCGCATTTATACGCTGGGTCAGTTAAGAGCCCAGAGACTGAAGATCTTCAGCTTTTAGGGATTTATAAGAATTGGACTTTACCCCCCTTTTTCCTTAACATGATCCATACCCAAATCCACAAGCATGTTGAGAGTAGGTTACAGCCTTTGTGTGGCAAAGTCCAAGCTGCCGTATTTTACTGTAAGAAAATCTTATCTGCATGTATTGTTAACTCAAAGACCATGAGATCTACTTATCGGGACCAGAAAGATGAACACTTCAGGGATATTACAATTACACTGCATTTCCTCAAAACCTGGTAAGACACTGCAGAGGGAGCCCTGAAATCTTTGTGGATTTGATATTAGCTCTATTCTTCACAAGCACACACAGAACCTATAATCGCAGCAGGAGAACACATGATGGAAAATTTCCATAACCTGTGCACTGAAACCTGGAAAAATCATCCTTGCCAGGTAGACTTTATTATAAAGCAATAAGTGCCAATTGATATTCTCACCATGGAACTGGCTAGAAACTGATGCAAAGAAAAATAAGCAGATCACTCTACATTATTTACCTTTTAATATTTGCTGGGGGAAGTTTGGGAGAAATTAGTTCTGAGGTTATGGATTTTTTTAAAAGATTATGAAATAAAGTTATTTTTAAGTAAATCTTTCAGTGATTTTGTTTTGGACTATCAGTAACTGGAAAATTTGGAAAACAGAGTTTTCTCAGAAAAAAAAAATTTTAAATTTACATCCCTAATATTGGAAACAGTATTGTTCCTCTTACCATTTTATTTTCTTCCATGACTTGTACACAGTGAATACATAAAAATGTACATCAAAGGGCTGAAGATGTGACTCCGTAGTAGAGCACTTGCCTACCATGAATGAGGCCTTTGGATACATGTCTGTAATCTCAAAAGTAACAAAAATCCCACTAATAGGAGGACTGGAAGACACCAGGAGTTGGGGGAATATGGAGACAGAATGGGTAGGAGAAAATAGAGAAGAGAAAAATGGCCTGAGTGGGGTGTGAAGGTAAGTGGAGCCAGGTTTAGAGAGGAAAGGACGGTGGAACTTGTGTGTTTCACTCCCAGAGGAGATTCTGGTTGGGGATGAACTCTTCTCCAGACCTATAGACAAGTTCTTCCTTACTCATTCCTGATGACGGGATAGTTCATGGAAAACCATTACTTTATTGCCCTATATTTGAGAGTGGTTATCCTGACGAGTCTATTATTATTATTTTTTCTTTGGTACCAGGGATCGAACTCGGGTCCTTGCGCTTACGCAGCAGGCGGGGAAACCACTGAGCTAAATCCCCGGTCCCATGACGAGTCTATTATTGCCAGGTTTATTTCACACAGGAGACAGTAGAATGGCATTGTGGGAAAAGCCTTGGAATCAGGGAACCTGAGTTCAAATTACACCTGTGCCATTCTTAAGGAGGCCAAGAAATCGGAGATGAAATGAGAACCCACGTGGAAGAGACTAAAACTGGGGCTGAGTACAAAAGTGGAGGCTTGAAGGGGGGAGCCAGGTCATTACAAATGGAAATAAGGAACTGTACATGGCGGTGCTTGTCTGTAATGCCAACCCTTTGGGAGACTGAAGCATGAGGACTGTGAGTTTCAGCCCAGATTAAGCAATTTAGTGCCTTAGTGAGACCCTGTCTCAAGGAGAGCGGGTTGGAAATGTAGTTCAGTGTGAAGGCCCTGGGTTCAATCCCCAGTACTGATGGGGATAGGGAGGATGCGGGTAAGGATACAGCCCAGCCCCCTTCCAGTGTATGTAGGGTGCTGACAAAGCGGCACTGTCAGGGACTGCGATTAGCTGAGCCCTTCGGGAAACTAAAGCCGCCAGCAACTACAGGGGTCGGGGAAACTACTAAAACCCTACCCTGGCTCCATAACAGTGTTAGAAAGCCAACCATCTGACCCAAACTGGACAAAGGGTGTCTGAGGGTGTCAAGCAGAAAGAAAGAGACCACAAGCTCCGAGGGGATTAGGAAAGGGGGATGTCAGCAGGCCTACAAGCACAACCTTCGCACCGCTCTGCAGAGGCCTCTCGCCCAGCCCTCACCCACCCGTGCCCTCTGCTCCCAGCTCCCTTTCCACTACGCGGTCATCAGGGACCCCCCTTCCCCCAGGCCAGCTCCCCAACGCCATCCCACTTTTACTCGGTCCACGCCGCCACTCCACGGCCCGTTTTCCCTCCAGCCCCGCTCCTTCACGTGGCCCTTGGTTTGCTGCCCGCTCGCAGGCGCCTCCTGGAGCCCCGCGTCCCCACTTCGGCTTGAGTACCCCGCCGCCAGCTTCCGGTCGGCCCGCTCCTCACACCCCTTACGCCGTCGACCACCCCCCGCCCGCTTTTCCACGCCCCCAGCAGCCCCTCCGCCTCCGTGGTCTCCCGCCCGCGTTCGGAGCCCCCTTCTCTCCGCTCTGCGTCCCCAGGCCCCACGCTTTTCCCGCAGTTCCGATCCTCTCATTCGTTTTACCCGGTTCTGTCCCTGACTCCCTCCGTTTTCTTCTCAGCACCCCCGCTTTTACTCGTCCCCCCACTTTCTCGCAGCCCCCCGGGCTTATCTCTCCCGGGTTTTGTCTCAGCACCCAGTTTTATCCGGTCCCCCATTTTCTCAGCTCCCCCTCCTGCTTTCTCTCTCCCGGGTTTCCCGCAGCCCCCCCCCCGCTTTTGCCCCGCCCCCCGTTTCCCCTCAGCCCCTGGTAGCCCCGCCTCCGTTTCCCTTCGCACGCCCCGCCCCCTCTCCGCCCCGTCCCCCGCGGGTCCCCGCCCCCGCCCGCGCCCGCGCCCGCGCCCGCCGCCATGTGACGGGAAGCAGCTGATGGCCTCTCCGGGTGGCAGCGGGGCGGGGGCGGGGGCGGGCGACGCGGGGGCGGCATGAGGGCCGGCGGCCCGGGGGGCTGAGGCGCCCACCGCCTGCCGCGCGGCCGCGTCCTCCATGGAGGCCGGAGGTGAGTGGGGCTGGGTGCCCGTTCCGGGTCGCGGGCCCCGGTCGCTACCTGGGGCGGAGCGGAGCGAGGCGGGGGCGGCGCGGGGACCCCGGGGCGGCGGGCGGGCGGCGGGCGCGGGGTCGACTGCGGAGTCGGCAGCGGTGTGGACGCGCGGGCGCCCAGCTTTGTTTCACTTTCGCTGTCAGCGGCCGCCGCCGGGACCGGAGCCGACCGGTGTCGGGTGGGCGCCGGGGCGGGACGCGGGAGGACAGTCCCTAAGGGCGTGGGTCGCGCTCGCAGGGTGCTGGGGCGTCAGCTCTGCCCTAGCAAGCTGGGTAACCATGCTCGTGGACAAGCCGCTCGCCACCCCCACCCGCGTCCCCGTTTTGTCTCTGCAAGATGGATAATAACAGTGCCTGCCTCAGTGGGTGGTTGAGAGATCCCAAACTTACCAGTTCACACGCGGGAGGTCTGGGGTCCCTGTTGGAACCTTATCCCGGGCCACCTCTCACTAGGGACTGTATTTTAGTGAAGTTGGGGCCCCTGGGGCGCTCGTCTCTGGGGACATGTATGATTAGGCGAGTGAAGGTTACCTCGATGGGTGAGGTCCGGGACTTGCCCTGTCCTAGTTAACAGCTGTCACCATCAGAAACCAGTGTGACCAGTGTGCATATCAGAATATTCGATGTACTTCGTGCCAGCATGGAGAACACTATCTCAGTGGACAAGGTGTGGTTATTAAGCAAAGGCAAAACCTCAGGATGTAGCCCTTAGGCACCTTTCTTCCGACTGCCTTGCCCCTGTGCCCTGTGTCACTTGTATAGAAATTTGGGGTGGGTTTAGGATTTATTCTGAGAGCCCTAAACTCCCGAAAGTGCGAAGGCTTGAAGGCAGTCTTAGGTGAACTTCTCAGAAGGGGCTGAGGCCTAAGGCTCGAATTTGTTACAGAACCTCTGGGAGTGAGGTTCAGGCTTCAGTTTGGTGTGGAGGGCTCTGATTGCTGATGGCTTATTATTGAGGGTGGGTTGGTTGAAATCGAGGCATTCCCTGGGGGGATGTTACTTTTTAATTTAGGAAATGACAGTTCTTTGTTTGCTGGAGCCAGGCTTTCAGTAAAAGGTGTAGAGGCAGCTCTTTCCAGTTCCCATCTAGATATGGGCCTTTCTTTTCAGTAAGTGCATTACCCATAGAATTCTTTTTAAATAATCCCTACTGTTTTCATGAAACTCTTACCTGAATCTCTTTATAGCTTCCGCTGTCATTTCCATTGATTCCTTATAGTTCAATCAGAAAACAATAGCTAGCCTCACTTTTTAACAAGAATCTGTTTCCAGTTCTGGGTTTTTCCTAATAATTGACAACTGTGTTTCGGGAGTGTGGGCAGAGAGAGCTGTTGTGAGCTGCCAAGCTACCTATTAAAAGAAAATAGGGGAGAGTAGGCTAGAGAGTTTTTACCTTCTTTGAAACTGAATAAAGCCTACTGTAAATAAATTACAATGGAAAACAGTAGAAATCTTCAGAGCAGTGGTTGGAATTCATTTATTCATTCAAATATTTATTGAGTATTTACTATGTGCCAGGCACCCTCTAGGTCAGTGCTGGCCAATAGAAATGTAACAGGAGCCATATATGTAATGTATAATGTTCTAGTAGCCAAATTAAAAAGGAAATAGGTGAAACTAATTTTAAAACTGTTTCAATCCAACACATTTAAAATATTTCAACTTAATTCATTTATGTAATCAAATAAAAATTATTGGGATATTTTGAAGTTTTTTTTTTTAATTGTTCTAGAACTTCAAAATCTGGTGTGTACTTTGTACTTAACAGCTCATCTCATTTCAGACCTGCTACATTTCAAGTGGTCAGTAACCATGCGTGGCTGTTAATTACTGTATTGGATAGAGTGGTCCACAATCATTAAGATAGGCAAGTTCAGGTGGGTTGAGGAAGAGATACATAAAAGCAACAAAAGCAATCAAGAAAATATCTGGATGATTATAATTAAATGATTAAAGGAAAGAAACTGGGTTGGTCACTTTACATAGTGAAGCCAGGAGGGACTCCCAGAAGATGATGTGAGCATGGTGTCCTGCACCATGTGTTGGAGCAACCAAGCAAAGCTTTCCAGGCCTTTGGAATAGCTAAAGCAAAGGTCCAGAGGCAGGAAACATCTCCAGGCTTCCTGCGCGCTGAGGTCAGAGCTTCCATCTCTTCCATTTGTATAGAAGAGGCTCATAGTAAAGTCTTTCCGTTGAACCTGATTGTCCAAACATGTCCCATTGTTTAAATGGAAATCCCGAAAGGGGTGAGAGGGGGACTTGGGAGAATGTTGGTCACAGGTTATAAAACTTCAGTGAGACAAGTGGAATAGATTCAAGATATCTGTTGTACATTGTGGTGACTGTAGTTAATAAATAACAGTATATTGTCTACTTGAAAATTGCTGACTGTAGATTTTTTTGAAGTGTCCTGACCACAAAAATGAGAAGTATGTGAAGAAATGCATGCATTAATTTGCTTGATTGAGTCATTCCACAGTGAATGTCTGTCAAAACATCCTATGGTACACGATATACAATGTTTGTCATTTAAAAATTAAAAAGAGAAAGAAAACCCTAATCCATAGGCATTTGAAAACCAAGAAGGAGCACTGCAGGTATAATTCCAGATGCAGCTGGATCATCTCAGCTGTTTTGTTTTGTTTTTAAATTC